TATAGAGAGAGAGAGAGAGAGAGAGAGAGAGAGAGAGAGAGACTGAGAGAGACTTACAACAATCTATGCTATGTAAAGATCTATGTTTAGTCATTAGGCGGAACTGTATCCACACACAGATCCTTACCATTTATTCCAGTAGCAGCTTCCTTTCCTTCCCATACTTGTGGGAAGTGTGTTATTCTTGGCCCTTCTGTGCCTTCAGCCCCATTAGCTGAACCATCCAGGAAACAAAACATTCTCTCGGCCGGTGTGGAGCGAACCAACTAGAGCTCACTGACACACTCCTGGAATCGCTTGAAGTCGGTGATGAACTTACATTTCCCTCATTGGGTCACAGAGCAATTAGATGCACATTTCAGCCAAAAGCAGTGTTAACTTGCTACATTTGCCAATACAAATCCTGTAGGAATTTTTTTTAGTGCATGTTCATTTCTCATTCTGCTTTTATTTTTGTTGTTGAATGCTGTCTTCTACCATAGTTATAACAGCAGTAAAGGAGTGAATCCTCTGTCTGTGTTGTTTAAAGAATATGAAAGCAGAAATTCAGAGATACCTTAAGGGGTGGTTTCACTTGGATGTATGATATCAAGCGTCCGTATGACTAGGAGCTTGAACTCACACAGTTCTCACCACTGGGTTTGAGTGATAATTGGTTATATGGAGAAGACAGTATCAATTTGAGAATCATAAGTCTTGGATCCCATGCTAAATTCTCATGGGAATTAGTGTACCTCAACAAGCTCATAGAATGGTGTGCTATAAAGAGTTAGTCAAATCTAATATATTGTTACTGTTTGACTTTTTCTGGAAAAAAAAGTATAGACTTTTGTCAAAGAGCACATTTTATTTTGCTTCTGTTGGTTTTAAATGACAGAGAAGTGTTTTATAAGAATTTGAAATCTATGTTATAAATAGTTTTAAAGTGTCAGAAGCCTTGTCAACCACCTTTGGCATGTCTCATGGTGGACTGATTTAGAAGTTTAAAAAATAACTGGTGGGTGTTTTCTCAAGCATGGTGGTCCCACAGGGAGGCCAAATCCAGGTTTCCAGTTGGAGTCCCTTTCCCCACAGATGTTGAGATGGTTATAGAATGCCAATCTCCGAAGAAGATACACATGAACTGTAGAGATTTGTCAAAATTCAGCTACCTCTTTTGCATCTACAAACAGTAACAAAGTACTATTTTCATGCTAAGATATTGTAGTCATTTTTAATAATTCATGCATCAAGCAGACAAGTAGTAAAAGGGTGAGATAAAACCGTTTCTTTCCCTTTAACATGTGCCCCTTCAATACCACCTTCCATCCACCACAATAATCACCCAAGGTGGGGCCTTTTGCATTCACGTGTGACAAGGCAGATTCCTTTCTCTTGTCACAGATCCAAGTTTGGGTGCCCCGGGCAGCCACCAGCACCCCATAATGTGGGATCTTTTATCTGGGTAATGGTTAAAAATTCAAGTTAACCCAGATGGGCTTTTTCTCCTTGAACCAATAGATTCACTTATATTTCCACTGAATCAAATGTTCAGAATAATAGGTCTACTTGATTCTACTAGCTCCATATTATGAAGAAAACATAAATTATCAAATTTTTACAGGAGTACTATGAGTTAGTCTAGAATAATATTTTTCAAAATTAGTACCCGTGATCTGACCTGCACCAAAGTTAAAAAAAAAAAAATTCCAAAGTCATATAAATGTCAAGAGCAGAGCAAGATGGGGACTTGTAGAGTTTAATTTGTTGTTCTCCCTTTAATTCATTTAGCCATCAAACAAGCCCCTACTGAATTGTGCTGTCATATGTAATAGAAAGTAAATCTATTTGGGAAAACATAATAAGAAAAAGATTAATTGAGGGCATTTGCTTTGCAAATGGTAGAGCAATGCGGAGTGTGAGAAAGTTAGCATGTTGGGGAGCAGAGCCTGGAGAGAGTGACGCTGGGTGGGGGTGGGGAGTGATCATTAGGTACCAAGTCAGAGAAGAGGAGGAAGTTCTGGTGTGCTGCTGTGTTGTTGGGTTGCTATAAATAACAGCAATGTGCTGTACATTTGAAAATCTACAAGAAAGGATTTTGCAAGTTTTCCCCATAAGGAAATAATAAATATTTTAGGAGATGGATGTGCTTGACATGATTTAAACATTATACAGTGTGCCCTATAAGATATTACATCTTGGCCCATGTATATGTACAATTTTTATGTATCTCAAAAAGAAATTTTTAAAAATTGGGAATCAGCAGCACTCACAAGATTCAAAATGGTTGAGGGCTCTTGCAAAAGGCTCCCACAGCCCAGTGCCATGTGTCCATTGGGGCGAGCTTGACGCAGGAGGGAGCCTCCTACCAGACCAGGTAAAGTGAATCTAACGCATGACTCCAACTCTGGTCCTTCAGACCCGATCCGAAATGCATTCAAAAGGAGAGGGAAATTGTGTAAATGCCAAGGTTGATCTTATGATCTTTTATCATATGCTTATATGGAACTTGTGCCCTGATCTCTGAGTGTGTCCTGATCAGTGTAACAGGGTGCCTGTGACTACACACACACAGCCCTTGGTAGGGGACTGGACACTGGAACCCCAGCCCCCATTGCTACTACCACCACTACTATATCCTCAGTTTCTCAAAATTCCTATACTTTTTCCAGGCTGCTTCCAATTCAGCAGGATTTAGCCAGAAGGAAAGTTTATGAGGCTGTGTTTGGTCGGGCCTAGGGAAACCCTACAAAGCAGCGGTATATTCGCTCTTGTTACTGATGATCCTAGACCCAGAACAGCCAAAAGCCAGCTAATACCGTGTCACAGGCATACTTCTCTCCACAGCGCTGTGTTCCTGACTGCAGAAATATCAATGTCATTTCATCCTCGAATGGCCAGACCCTAATCTCTGCATGTGAGACAAGAATGGCCGATCTGTACCCTTTTGTCTCAGCAGTAGTGAAGAAAGAGAAATGAAAATACGCTGCTAATGACTTTGTGTATGTGCTTCCTCCTTTTTCCTGTTTCCCGAAACCAACATAGCTTTAGCCCGACCTGCCATTTAGACCCGAGTTTTGGATTGATCTGTGATGAATGCCCTGTCGGGTACACAGGACCACGCTGTGAAAGGTAAGCACGTACTGCCCTCTCTTGCAAAATGACTTCTTCCTTGGGGGTTATAAAACCACAGGCATTATCATCCGCCGCTCTACTCCAGAAGATCAGCCTAACTCAATGAAATGAAATAAAGTTTTTTTATCACTCAAGTCAAACCAATCCATTATATTTTTATAGTTTATTTATTCTCTAGCAATTGCTCTATAAATCTTCATTCACTCAGAGAATATCTGATTAATGTTTTAATCATAAAGGTTAAACATTAACCTACAATCTTTCTAAAAAGTATTGCTCAAGTGGAAAGTCATACACTTTAAGATTTATCTTACTGTCTAGCATTGGCATCATTTATTTTTCATAATTAGCTTTCTGTCCTTAAAATATGACTTACATTCCTAATTCATAGTTCAAGAAGTGGTCCCAACACTTACTTTAAATATATGTGAAAAACAGATGAAATATAATGTATTATGATGATTTATAGTCTCTTGTAATGATTCTTACACCAATGTTCAAATTCCTGTTGATTTTCTTGATTTGCAATGGAACATAATTTGTGTAATTCTATTTCTTCTTCAAAATGTTTTTAAGGAATGGCTTTACCATATATTCCATCTCCATATAAAAATGGTACCAACTTCCCTTTGATACTGTATTATTGGCAAAGAGAACAACCTTTCTGTGGTTTTAGAACTGGAAAGAGTCCCCTTTTCTACCATCACTGGGGACAATAGGGAGCAGGGAGAAAGGCAGTGAAAGGACCTGCTTTCCCTCCTTGTTACCAGGGTTACCACAAACAGGGCAGCTTCCACCTGTCTTTCCAGCCTTCTTGGCAACCATCACGCCTCTTTCAACCAGGGTGCGTGAAGTTAATGAAGCAGAAGCCAGTCACCCAGAGAGACTTTAGTTAGCTACCACACTCAGTGGACAAAGTGCCCGTGGCAGTTTCCAACAGCAATAAGTACTGTTTGTCAGTATGGTAGCATCTGTAAATTAGCAGTGGAGGAAAAGAAGTGAAAGTAGAAGGATTCATCCGTAATTGAGAAACTGGAGGCCATTAACTGTGTTTTTGTACAGGGAAGCCTGTGTATATTACTTATTATAGTCTTATTATTATAGGAGAGCCCATCATTCTCAAGACAGATTTACAATAAGTATCTAAACTATTCCCCCTCAAGCTTACTACAGGCAACCTTTTCCTTGCAGCTGAAAACTGACATCTCCTTTCTCATACAAGACCATTAAATCCATTTATCTAGCTGAGCATAAGCTCTGATGTGTTTCCATTGCTTTCCTTCATGTACTATTCTTTCCACACATATTACATAATAGTTTCCGGACCATCGATGATTCAAATGGCTACATTTTATTTAACAAATACCTCCTAGCAATCACTATGTACAGGACTAGACATTGGAGATAAACAGACACATTATACTGTTCTTGACTCAGCAGCTCATATCTTTCATTATTATGGATGAGATTGGTCACATGTTCTGGAGAGAATTCTAATTGAGCAATAAAAAATCACCAGGGAAAGAAATACCTGACAGAAAGCATGATTTTCTGTCTAAAATTTGTATTAATGTGATTCAAAAGAAGAGGGAAAGATGGATATGCAAGGTCGCAAATGACATATCTTCCCCAACTCAAGTTTTTCAGCAAAAAAATAATCACCAGCTATTATTACATAGATGATGGATAGTATCTTTACTAGCCAGTATTAGGATTTCCCAGGAATATTTAGGATTTATGATGAGCTAATAAGTCCTTTAGGTAGATAAAAAGTATTAGCAGAAACATTTTTGAGATATACACATTGAAATGGAAGGGTGAGCAATTCCTACTGGTTGCACTGAAAATCTTGACAGTCAAAACCACTGTGGAAGTGATTTGTGTGGTCACTGTATGCACACCATCTGCATAAAATCAGTATTTTAAAATTAGATTTCTGCAATAGGCAAAGTTTGAGAAGTATCCATTGGCATGTTAAAAATTCTAGCTTGCCCTGTTTTATGAAGAAATCTGATGAATTTGCTTGACATAGCATTCCCTAAACATGTGGCTTTAAGTATTCTCCTTTTATTATATAGCATTGCTCAGACTATGGTTTTGGGGGATAAAAATTATAATTTTAAATGATTTGCCTCAAATTACTTCCTATTTTGAACTTCATTCTCTATCTGTAGGAAATGTGTGAGCTTGGGAACATGACCTCAGCCAACTTACTTTTCACCTTTCTCTACTTCTGAGGTTGAATGAAGGTTCTAAAATGCTTATCCTATAGCAAGGTGCCTGTGTGTACGACTGTGTGGGTGGTAGGTGGGTGTGCAGGTGAGTGTGGGTCAAAGGAAACACAGTGGAGGCAAACAGATCTGAGTCTTTCTGCTAACCTATTCCTTGTCCTGATTACCTTTCCCTTCACATCTATCAACTTCTTCCACTACTTCCACCACCATCTCTACTATAATTACTTTTCTATGTTTATTTCCAAAGCTATCCCATTTTTATGTTTGGGGGAAGATTACAGGATTGGTTCCACATTCTAAAAGATCATAACTTTTAGAACCTCAAAATCTAGGAGTTTCCTATGTCTGCACACTTGCTGTGTGAAATCCCTTCACTTGAGAATGTATTGCATGATAGTTTTGCTTCTTGAACTGAGGGAGTGTATTAGCCAGCTTTCCACTTGCTAGATACAATGCCTGACACCCAAAATTGAAACCAGGACAGGATTATTTGGTTCACATTCTAAGGGATTCAATCAATGGTCAACTGGCTCCAGAACATAAATACTGTGGCAGAAGGCCCTGATGGAGCAAAGCTGCTTAGTGCATGGCAAGCAGGAACAGAGCAGGGGCACAGTCACAGGGAAGAGGCAAGGGACCATATATTACTCAAAGTCACACCTCCGTGACCCACGCAGGACACCCAGTAATGGGCTTTACTCATCCCGTGGGCATTTCTTAAGCCAATAAAATTGACACAATTAATGTTACCCATCACAGGGACTAAAGAAAAGCAATAAACTAGAGGATGGCAAAAGTCAATACAGCAAAATGACTGATACCCTTTCAAGTGCAGAATGTTAGTTGCAGCTTGGAAATATTAATCGGGCATCAAGGCACCTTCACCATTGAGGTGTCACTGCTTTGATGGGGAATATTTTATGAAAAGAAGAAGAGAGACAGAGTGATGGTAGCAGGTGTTTATCATGACACTTCCCTAAGACTGTTGGCTTTGGTCATGTGGAGCACCAAAGAATAAAATAGAAAAACAGAACCAGCTTCTTAAAGGGCAAAACAGTTAACACTGGAGAATCAAGAAAAAATAAGAACAGAGTGCAAAAAGTTAAGTTATTTTCAGGATAGGCACCCTCAGCAATATGTCATGGAGAAAGACATGTACCAAGAATGCTAAGTTTACTGGGTGAATTCACAGGACAGCATGCAATGTAAGGAGATGGTGAATTTCTTAACCATCTCCTCTCCAATTGGCAAATTTCACTCTTGCCCTCCCTTTCCCTCTCCCCCTCTCCTCCTCTCTTCTCCCCTGCTCTTCTTCTCTCTCCTCTCTTCTTTTTCTTTTCTTTTCTTTCTATTGTAGTACTGGTTATTGAACCCAGGGCCTTTATACTGAACTGTGTCCATATCTCTTTTCATATTTTCTTTTCAGACAGGGTCTCTCTAAGTACATGTTGACCAGATTGGGCTTGAATTTGTAATCCTTTGCCTCAGCCTCCCAGAGTGCTGGAATTACAGATCAGCACCAGCACACCCAGCTCCAGATGGTCAATTTCTGACAACTCCTCCCGAAGTGAGCAGAGAGAGAGGCCCCCATCATGATCACCTTCACACTTTCCACTGAGCATACAGAAGAAATTTGACTCTAGTTGCCTAAAATTTTTTTAAAATCCGTATATAATTTCATTCACATGATGCCTGTTTAACATTGAGGAAGTGCCTTTTGCTTTTTAATTTCAACTCAAAAATCCTGTAGCTATTTCTGCATCAGGAACATCTGGATGTGGAGCAAATCTGAGAGCCTCGGATCACGGTGCTGATGAGAGTTGCTACTCACATCAGGGTTGCCTCATCCCTGGGGTCCTGGCAGCGGAGCAGGGACTGATAGAAATGACTGCTTCCCCCTGGCAGCACCATGAGCAGAGGAGTGACTGCAGCTCAAGTTCCTAGAGGCTGCTGTGTGCTTTGTGGGTCTGCATGCTGCACAAAGTGGGGGAAGCAGAGCTCCGTGCCCACACATCGTCAGGCCGTGTGTGGGTCCGCAGTAATTTACTTATAGACTCCATAGAAGGAGGCAGACGCTCGCAGTGCTTAGCTGATCACCGCAAATGAAGGGTGAGAGGAGGGATAGTAATTCCAGCAGGTGATAGCACAGCCGCGCTCGTTCGCTGGTGTCTGTGCAGGGGCTGTTCCCTCTGCCTGGAAGAGCACAGGCCTTTGTCTCCATCGCCTGAGACTCACCCCAGTTCAACTCTTCAGTTTCAACTCTGCCACGCTAAGCAGGCTTTTGATGGCATAGCCTAATGCACCGCGGTCGCCCTTTTCTGTGCCCCATGATTCTGCTTGGGTATCTCCAGCTGCTCTGCTGTTACCTTCTTTGCTTTATTAGTCCATGATTGCAGTGTGCAATCATGATTTATCTTCCTTGTGCGGAGTTGGTACTTGCACATAATGATCCTAATTCCTTTTCTCATCACCTCCCCTCTCCTTCCTCCCCATCCCACCGTTTCTTGACCACCTTCTCATTTAAGAAGAGCTGTCCCGCTACTACCTACTGCATACCCTTTAGTTTGCTCTTTATCTATACCTTCGTTTTCCCTCATAAGAGAAACTTTGCAATATTTAAATTTGTGTGTCTAATTTATTTCACTTAACATTATGTTATCAAAGTGCATCCATTTTCCTACAAATAATGCAAGTTTATCTGTTTATGGCAGAGTAGTACTCTGTTCTGTGGAAGTACCACATGTTCTTTACCCCATTTATCTGATCATAGGCAGATAGCCTGCTTGCAAGGTCAGCTGTTGTGAATTGTGCTGCTATACACATGGGTATGCATAAATCACTTCAATATGACATTTAACTCTTTTAGGAAGATACCTAAAAGGGAAATACCTGGGTCAAATCAAATTTTTAATGTTAGTTTTCTGAGGAATCTCCATAATGACTTCCATAATGCATGTACTGGTTTACATAGCCACCAACAATGCACTAGGGTTCCTTTTTGACCATGATCTCACCAGCACTTGTCATTATTTGATTTCTTGATGGTGGCCAACCTTTCTGGGGTAAAACAAAATCTCAGTGCTGTTTTAATTTGCATGTCTCTAGTGACCAGTGATACTGAGCCTTTCTTCATGTATTTATTGGCTTTGTACGTCTGATTCTGTGAGGTGTCTATTCATTTCACTGTCTCTTTTTGACTGAGCCTTTCATTTGGAGGGTTCTAAGTGTTTGAATTCCGTGCACGTTTTGGATATTAGCCCTCTGTCTGAGGAATAGCTGTCACATTTTAATGCACTTTTCTTGTCTATATTCAATGGGCTAGAGACTGTGCCTTATGTTTATGAGTGTTACGTGGAAGTGCTCAGTGCGTTTTCTTTTTTGAGTGAGAGAGGGAAAGGTGAAAGCAAGAAAAAATGGGGATGTAGGCCACAGATTTTAATTAAAAGTTGCCGAAAATATTTTTGAACAGAATGAGATGAAAAGCTCCATTAGTCTTGCTGTGTTCTTTTGCTCATCGTTTCTCTCCACATCTGACATTCATTCCCTCTCCCTCTCCCCTTCTCTCTTTCTCTCTTCCTCTTCCCTGCTCTCTCTCTCTCTCCTCTCTAATATTATTCCTAAGTCATCAATTGCACAGCTGTATTACAAAACTAACGTGTTCTCTGGAATTGTTTACATTTAAAGGATCTCTTCTTAAAATATTGGAAATTGATTCAAAATAGTTAACAAATATGAGAAGGCAACTGTGGCTTTTTACATTAAGATGTCCATTTTTAACAGGGAATTCAATACACAATTTTGATATGAGTTCAGTGAAATATGTTTTAAAATTGTGTATCAGTGAGAGGACTTGAGATTTCATACAGTAATTAGTTTTGATGGAGAGAAAAATCTAAGAAGCTGGAAAGGTCCAAAGGGCTATATTTTAACTAATTTTAATTAGATGAATCTTAATTGGACAGACTATGTAATGCTATTATTATTAATAAAATTATCTGATTAGCTGTATTACATTTCCTGACCCTGAAATTACTTTTAATTCCCAATGAGACATTTAATAAGTCTCTATGAATGCTGCTCTATATATAAAATCATGCACACATGTACATCAGCAGTGGAGCACAGTGACCTGCAGAAAGTGAGCTGGTCTTCCTGAAGGGCCATATGAATTTTCTGTCATGTATATCCACAAATTTTCCTTACACATCCTGTAATAAAATAAAGGATGCTTCTTTATTATTTTACTTAACAGCATTTTACTTTAACAGCATTTTCTCCATGGACTGAGTTTTTATTATTATAGGAGAATTTTGGTCTTATTAATTGGTATCTCTGTTAGGAAAAGTTCCTAGATCTTGTTATATAATGCCATCTCTCCTGAGGGCACTAAGTCATTTCTTAAAAAGGAAACTGAAAATAATAGGTTTTCGTTGACTGTGATAATGATCCCTGTACATCCATATTCTACAGGAAGCAAAGTCACTGCCTTAGAGATAAACAAAATGAGATGCGAATATCTATGGATGTAATTGTAAACTCTGAATAACAAATGAGGCAAAAAGAATCAGGTTAAGATTCGAAAGGATCTTATTATTTTATTACATTATACTCCTAAAGGGGTTATGGGAAATTATATGCTCTAAAATGTTATTCTGTATTTCATGAGTGAACTAATCCATAATTATATTTGTGGAAACAGTATCTTTTTAAACTATGTGTTCATTATTTTATAAACCATTTTGTGAATATAATTAAAACTATTCATCTCATTCTTAAGATTATGATAAACCATTAAATCATTTAGATTATTATGACCTATACATTTTCTAGAAATATTAACCATGTGTTTTACCAAATTATGACTTTATACCATATTTGCAATATTATTAATATATCCTCAATATTACATACTGGATTTAAACCATTTTTATTTCAAGTGGTAGATATGTCTTTCTCTAAAAACATGTCTCACCTATCAGTGAGTGGATTATCCTAAATGTAGTGAACAATAGAAGGAATTATATTTTCATATACTATTTTTGTATTCTTTCAATGTTGGCCTGTGCAGCAAGAGTTTGATTGTGGCATAGATAACACAGCCAGCCCGACCACAAACTTTAGATGTCCTGTTTTGCTTCTCCATTTGCACATATGGCTTAATATGAAGCATATGGAAATTCAGCTAAAAGTGATGACGAGGCAGAATGCACACAGGTACTACCTGTAAGGCTGTATCTGTGACTCTATAACTTTAAGCAGCATTTTAATCATGTAGATCAAAGAAAATTTGACACTATAATTTTTACAAATCTGTGTCATGCCTTTTAAATAATGCAACACATAAGATAGTTTTGTTTGTTTAAAAAGAGACCTGTTATTTGCTAATGTAAATAGGATGCACAGTTTAGCATCACTTTATGCTATAGAATTCTAATAGACACATGTACTTAGACTTCCTGTTAAGAAAGACTCTGCATTGAATATCTGCCCCTGGATCCACACACAAATAAGTGCAAACCTATTATTAATTCAGAGATATCCACAGCCCCCACACAAATAACAATCTTCTGAGTCACAATTCCTGTTTAATAAATTCTGAACCCTTACTACTGCATTTTCTTGTCAGTCTGTTTCTTTATAACGACCTGTTGCTGCAAAAACAACAAAAAATGGGAACCTTGTGTATTTGTACAGAAAACAACCAACTGAGGTAGAGACATACGATGTGTTTTACTACAAAGGCTTTGCAGCATGGACCTGGATCCCTTCAGAGTGCCAGCAGCAGGTTTCTTATTATGCTTTGGTCTCATCCTCAGTGCCTATGACAAGATTTTTATTTTCTTTTTGGTCTGGCTGCAATCTAATTACTAGTGGGGCTGGCAGGATTTCATCTTGTGTCTACACTGCAGTATAGAAAAACATTTTTAATCACCTCACACTCGAGACAAGAAATCCTTAAAAGGAAAAGCCATCGTCCTAGAAGAGAAGTAGTATGAAAAATACATAAACGTCACCTTGCGCGGATTTCCTGGATTCCCCTCCAAACTCTCACTGCTGAAATTTCTCACTGCAGGTGCTCAGAAGGCTATTTTGGACGCCCCTCTGTACCTGGAGGATCATGTCAGCCCTGTCAGTGCAATGACAACCTCGACTTCTCCATCCCTGGCAGCTGTAACAGCTTGTCTGGCTCCTGTCTGATATGTAAGCCAGGTACAACAGGCCGGTACTGTGAGCTCTGTGCAGATGGCTATTTCGGAGACGCGGTTGACGCCAAAAACTGTCAGCGTAAGTCCTGAACTAGTGATGCCCCTGACGGAATTGATATATTACACCTCAGAGAAGCTGATGAGTTCGTGAGTGGGGATTGGAGATGAGATTGTTTGTAATGCAATGTCGCTTGTTTCTGAGAATGATTTGTGCACAGCACAGCCACAAAGTGCATACTCCAAACTATGTCTTTGTCCTAGCTAATAGAGCGAAGCCACCGCAAGTTGCCACCTGGCCAAAGTAATATTTTGCAAATGATGCAAGTATTTCCTTTCATATAAGGAAAGGAAATTTTAAAATAGGTTTATATCCATAGCAGGAAAGGAGAACTCATAAATTAGGTTTTTTATCCCTTTTATTTTGATTCTAATCATTTGTTTGAAATAAATGTACCCCCTCATATTATTTCATTAGTACATTTCAGTAGGTGTTAATAGGCCATGCTTTTATATGTGAACTTTAGTCTTGTATTTCACAATAGATGTACAACTCCACCAATATTATCCCATGCTGGCACAGTTATTGTTGAGCGATTGATTAATTTTCAGTTTGGGAGAATTTGTCCAGTGGTATTTCTGTCTTTTTTCCATGAAGTTGGTTACTCTAAATCTTCACCCATTTCAAGATAGTATATTCCTCTACTCAACTTTGACTCCTTAGCTGTGAGGCACGGAAGTAAGAAATGCTTTCAAGCAGTGGTAATATAATATGCAATGGAGACCTGGTAGTGGAAAGTGGAATAGAAATAGAATATGGATCCACATTAGTACTTGAGAACTTATGTGACCATTGTTAGCTTCTGCTGCTATCATAACCTCTGGGAATTGCAGGATGTAAGACCAGCCTGACAGTTCATTTCTGCTAAGTTTATGATGTGAGAAGACACTACAATAATTCAGGTCATCCCACAGACCAGCAGACCTATGGAAACCCGGAGACGCTTAGTCTGTTATCTCTACTTTGAACAACAAAGATCCACTAGATACCCCATTTCAGAAAGGCACAGGTTCCTTTCCTCATGGATTTAGATGAGTGTTAGATTGCTTCCGTATAAAAATGATAATGTGTTAAATCAGAAGCAAATCACTCTGGGAACAGCTGACATCTAATGGTATCACCTGGGAACTAATGTTTTTAACAGCAAAATTTCCATCAGGCTCTGAGTAGCTTTAGACACCCTAGATTTTTGGCATTGGTGTAATAGCATAGGGAGTTTAAGAAATTGTACTGTTCAAACCAATCATCTAGGATCTGTACTCTGTCACGGTCACTCGTTTAGTAATAAGCAATGCTTGAAGCAGCCGTATATCATGCGGTAGTTTTATCAGTGGATCACTAACTGCAGGCCAACACTGATCATTTATTGACTCCTTTTTATGTCTTCTAAAAACCTCTTCTATAAAACTGAAGACACTGTTCCACTCTTTTTGCTATGAACTAGTGACCTATGGGTCAAAGCCTTAGAACATAGACGAAGAAAGATGAACCATTACCAATTTCCATACCATTTACCATGTGGTATAGACATGGTTATGACTTTAGTGCTCCTCAACCTGTAATTAGGATTAAAATATAATCCGTAATCTATTTTCATAATTTTCATGGATATAGCAGCTCTCCTGCCTATAGTGGTAAATCTCAAGAAAAGAAAGTTTTGTGAAAAAAGTCTAAATTTGTTCATGAAAAGTTCATCCCTACACAGAAATATATTTTGCTTTTTAAATTTATGTATAGTTTCACATCATACTTTGCCGCTAAAAATGCCACTTTCATAAAGTTCTGTATTGCTTTCGTTACTTCTAATATTAATTAATCACCACTATATTTATGGAAATTTAATTGTGTAGTCTCTCAGAAAAAAGAAAGTCAGGATTCTAAGTAATTTGAGATTTTAAAAATGGATGTGTTACACACAGAAGAAATTTACATAAGGAAATTAATAGTATGCACAGTAATTCTAGTGTCTAAATAAAAGCGGATATCTAAAGAAAATAATGTTTTTCAGCCTTTCCTTCCATTTTTGCTATAAACCGTCCTTATGCTATTGTCTGATGAAAATGGCTGTCATCTGGTCGGCCACTTTCTAGGTGCCCAATGCATTAGTATCGAGAGTTATCAGCTACTGAAGGCCAAACTTTACTAGCAGACAACAAAGTAATTTTTAGATAAGCATTAAAGAGAAGGAGAGCTTGGAACCAGGTGAACTGACTAATAGCATGCTCTGATGGAGTAGCTATTTATAATGTGTTCATAAATTGTGCTCAGAATAGTCAGAGATAATGTACAAAATTTACCAAATCCATCTAACCACCCATGTCATCTCCCCCTCATGATTTTATTCTGGCATCGGTGCAATTATATGTCCCATTAAAAATGCACTTGTAGAACAAAGAGAAAGCCATTAATTACTGTTCTATTTATGGAAAGACCACTTGGGTTTTAGACTGATTTATTATATGTTTCAGAATAATATCAGATAACTTTAAAACACAAAAAATGATAGAAGGGTACTTAAAGCAAATATATATTCTACCTTTGAAGGTGGTCTATAAACTGTAAGATAAAAGTGATTTTTCAAATTATAATGGACTTAAAGTGATGTTCTTATTATCAAACATATTTTTCTAATCTTAAAGGGATTTGTATTTATTTCACCTAAAGCTTATTTGTGAAACTTAATACAGAATCTGGCACAGAGTAAATTATCCTCACATTGAGAAAAGGACTAATAAGACGTCACTAGATTTGTAATGACATTGATGTTATAACCTGAGCGCTGTTAATTTTGATAACTTCTCAAAATTAATTTTGCCCTTGGAGTCAGAATGCAATCATTACAATGATATTATACTATTTTAAGTGTGACCCACATGTTAGGTTCCTGGAATCCGGGAACTCCATGCTGCAGTCTGATTTCCACACCCCAACCCCTGTCACCTAGTAAGCACATGGCCTTGTGCATGTCATGGCTTCTTTGAATTTCAGCATCTTCGTTTTCGAGATTGAAGTAATAACGATGGCAGTGAGATTTTAGTTATGTGCCAAGCCCTGTGCTCAGTGCATTATGTCCACAACTTGTAGAGCTGTCATAAGGCTTAAGTCATAGAATGCCTAAGAAAGCGCTTGACAAGGTGGAAAATGTTCTATTGCTGAATTTAGGTGTCAGAGTTACCATCTGGGAGATATTTTTATTGAACAAACCCATGAACACCAAGAGCATTTCTGATTGTGGATTTTTAGATCAAAGATGCTCAACCCGTAAAGTCCATGAACTATTCCCAAACCCACATTTCCCGTCCCAGACATTTCAGATAAGGTATCCTAAACCTGGAGTAGAAATGCCTTTCCAGCTGCAGATGTGTGTCTCCCTTCCACAGCTTGTCGCTGTAACGCCAACGGCTCCTCCTCTGAGATTTGCAACAGTCGCACCGGACAGTGTGAATGCAGACCCAACGTGCAGGGCCGGCAGTGTGAGAAGTGCAAGGTAAGGGGCAGCTGGCCTCTGCTGATCCCTCCTGAATCCCCCCGAATCCCCGGCTGTCCATGGCATGTGTTTTATGCCATAGCGTGCTGGAAAAGGGGTTTGGAATTATCTAATTCTACAGAGAAAATGACTATGATATGTGAAATATATTCTCAATTTTCTATACCATTGCAGTGGACCTGAAACCCACATTTCTTTGGTAGAGAGTTTATATAATATTTCCTATAATTCAGCTGTGTCTGAGAAAAATAATTTACAAATTTAAATCCCAGTCACTGGAGGGTAAAATATTTTTTACCTTTATATTCTGGGCAGAATAAAATGTATTAGTTCCTTTGCTGTTAACAAACACCATTTTTTAGTTTCTTCCATTAAAAGTTCCTTCCAGTGAGAGCTCTATTAGCAAAAGTTTACAGCAGAGAAGCTAATCAATATATTTTTAGGTATAGCATTTGCTAAAATGAAATATGCAATTAACTATGCTATTCTCGGTCCCTGGATGTATTGACTGCCCTGCCTGCAGGAGGACCAGCACCTGGGGATTCCTTCCTGAGGACGGCTGGATGTAGGGAGACCTTTCACGTAAATACATTTTATTGGCAATAAAGACAAGTAGGCAGGAGCAAGCAATTCTCAGATGTCAAACTGGCCTTTCAGCAGGAAATTTGAAAATATCATTAGCTTCTCTCTCTTGAATAACACCATATGCTCTTCTTTTGTTTTCCTTTCATTTATTCTTCTGTTGGGTTTAAAGCCCAATATGTGGTGGGACCCGGAGAAGCAACTCTGTGTGCTGTGTGACTGCAGTCCCCTGGGAGCTGCGTCACAGCAATGCGACATGACAGGAAGATGTGTCTGTACACCAGGCTTTGTAGGGAAACGATGCCACCTCGCCAGGCAGGTGCACCGACAGGAGGAGCAGCCGCAGAGAGCACAACGGGTGCTGGGGTCCCCCCGGAGGTGGGGTTCCAGCAGCTCCAGCGGGTGCCCTCGGGGAGCCCACCGGGCCCCAGCTCTGGTAATCCCAGAGGCGCTGCATGCTCGAGCCCCAGCATGCTGTGTTCTGCGTGCTGCTGCTGATGTTCCCTGGTGGCCCGTAACCAAATAACATTTGCTAAGTGTGCAAACCACAGGCGCAAACTTTAGACAATCCCAGATTGAAGCCCTCCTTGCCGTTTCAAAACTAACTCTCCTCATGCTTTTGAAAGTATATTTAAGTTCATAAAAGTTTCTACTAACCATGGACATGTAGAAATCAAATAAACATTTATTTGAAAGGATACCAAGTATCACTTGAAGAAAACTCAGTTTATGTGTGAACAAGTGGAAAGTGTAACAAAGACAGTGACTGCTCCAAGAATATTTGCAGCATTTGTCTGACATCTCATCACAATTAAGGGTTTCATTTCCACATCATAATTTTGCTCATGTATGCGTCCAGCCCAAGAAACACAGTTTCACATGCTGTAACTGCACAATATATGCAAAATAGAGAAAGTTGTTTCAATTATAAAAATTTAGTCTCCATCTCATTAGGCAAACCAAACAATGCTGGGATAGAAAAGAAAGAAAGAGAAAGGGCCACTTCTCCTGGCTGTGTTGCAAATTATGAGACTAGATTCGCCACCCTGGATTTACCCTAGATGGCTGTGGAGAGTTCAGAGTCAGGGTTAGAAGGACAGGGTGAAATGAAAAGTAAAGAAGGGCAAAGAAAGTCATAATTTTATTTCTTGGAATATTATTGTATCTTCAAAGAAAAACAATTCTGATAATAGCCTCCCCTGATCAGTCCCCAGCCTCATCACTTCCTAGATGGAAGTTCTTGACTCTTCCTCTAATTTCTTGAGTCTTCTAATTCCATAAAGTGTTTTCTGCTTATATCCTCCAGGAGGCCAATGCCAAGAGGTTTGGGGAAGCCCTCTGTGAATGGTGACCAGGGAGAGAGGAGCATGCTGGGAGCCTGCTGCCATGCGGTTCTGACTCCAGGGGGAAGAGTTAGGGAAAGACTCACTGAGTGCATTCCATCAGGTCGCCCACACTTTTACCAGACCAATAGAAAGTGCCCAGACAAAACTTGCCCTTTAGAGGAGGCCTGTATTTGGCAGGAAGTTCTAGGACATTGCTGTCCTCAGCCACTGACTGGGAGAAGTCTAGAGAGAGCGTGGAGTGTTTGTCTAAGCCATTCAAGATGCTTGATCAGAATAGCGCTCTGCTGAGTGGCTTATAAACAACAGAGAGATGCTGATAATTTCCCCTCCTGGCTATGGCCAGCTTCCCCTGGAAAGCCATCTTCTCACCTCCTCTAGTCGAAAAATATCTTTGTGGCTTCTTTTGTAGGGCACCAATCACATTCATGAGGGTTCTGCCCTATGACCTAATCATATCTAAAAGACCTCATACCATCAGCATGGAGGTTAGAGCTGGGGTTTGTGGGACATGGACATTCCACACTGAAGAGTGTCTTGCAGGGAGATGGGTTGATTTACCTCCAGGGCTATTTCTGGGTAGTAGTGAGATCAGTGCATAAACTAACAGGGATTGATCTAAGTAGAAGATGTCATTACTGTTATCATTTACTATCATTGCTAAATGGGGAAATATTTAAATTAGTTCTTTTTTCCAACACAGATGAATCAATGTAAAACAAAAGATATTCTATCTGATGCAAATATCTCCATAATGAAAATTTAGCAGAAAAATCAACTCTTGTTCATGCCCCTTCCCTACATATCTCACAGCAGTGTTTTGTTCTGAGACTACTGTTCCTCTGACACGGTGTGTGTCAGGATGAAGACCACAGACTCTGAAGCAAGGCTGCCTAATTTGCAGTCCTAACTCCACAGTGAGCTAGCTGATAGCTTGAGACAATTTATTTAACCTTTCTGCACCTCAGTTTTATCACTCCATAAAAATGTAATGACAGTAACAACTATCTGTCAAATCTGTCCTGAGAAAGAAATGAATTCATTTTTGTAAATGGTTTTGGAGGTGTACACATAGAAAGTAACACATAGGTGCTAGGTCTTATTATGATCTCAATATGGAAGAAGTTATGGAATCCTCTCCAGCTTCTACTTTGGCCTGGACTGGCACTGTTTTCCCTATTTGTGTTATATTACTAATTTTAATGTTGAGCTATGAGAGCTTGCTTCTTCAATTTTTTCATGAGGGAGGTTTTTCTCCACATTGAAATGGATTTTTGAATCCCAAATGTCGCAATATTTTATTAGTGAAGTGGGATAGTTTTACTTTGGTGTAATTTATCTTCAAAACTACATTATATATGTATATGTATTTGAAAAGTATGGTAGTGACATTTCTTCCTATATATTTCTGTACATAATCATCACTGAAACTTTTTCAGGGATAACTGTGATTTAGAAATTCACTTAACATTGAACTGATTTATCCATTAAATGCATGTGTATAGATATGTGCATAAAGGTGCATAGGTATATATATGTATATACACACAAATATTTAGATAGGTTTGTGTATTTGCTAAATCAGAACATTTAGAAAATGATGATAAATATAACAGACATTTTTACAATTGAACTTACTAGGTAAAAATTCAGAAATAAAGACAGATGTCAAATATTACTTCTATAATTCATATATTTTTTTAAAAACTGTTTTCAGCTAGGATTCATAGCATGATCCTGTCACACTAGCACTCTGAGAGACTGAGGCAGGAAATTTCCAAATTAAAGCTCAGCCTGAACAATTCAGCAGCTAAACAAGACCTGCCTCAAATTTTTTTTTTTTTTAAAAAAAGGATTGGGAATGTTGTTCAGTCCAAAGATCTTGCATTTGATCTCCAGTACTGCAAAACAAAACGCTATTACACAGCCTTGTACTGTGTACGCCTGGTCTGTCTGAATGTTTTCATGCACTATTGTGTAAATATAGATATATAATTGGAATCATAGCTGCTGTATGGTTTCATATGCTGCTTTTTAGAAATTTTACTTAATGTTATATTAATTGTATTCCTACCATTAAAACTGCTTCAAATTAGATTGTAATCATTGCTTATCATCTTATAGCATGAATGTATCATAATTTATTTAGCTATTTCACTAACACTGAACATTTAATTGTCTCTTCAGTTACACATATGATAAATAATCCTGTAATGGGCATGCTCTTGCTTTAATCATGGTTCCAATATCTGATCCTTTCTCCAGGACACTGACCTAAATTTTACATTGAATTCTTTTTATGAACAATAAAAATTATAAGCTTTAGTTTTCCATCATATAGGTGAATTTGCTCTCAAACTCATGTCACTTATTTGGAACTGCTACAGATTTTCTTCTTGAATAAATGAGATCTGAATTATAACTAGAAAGAAAAATAAAGCCAGCAGTAAATGTAAAAGTTAATATGATTATCAAAAATCAACCCACGTTACACTTAAACTGTAAAACTATTCTTAGCTAGTCATTTTAAAAGTCTAATGTTCAGTGTGATTTTTATTTCTCAAATTTAATTTTAATACTGCTAACAGCAGCAGCAAAAATATATAATAAGGCTTATTCATTTCTCTTTGGGTGAGTCACATTTAGTGGCAAGATTTATTTTTACCAAGAAGTCATTATTCAGTATAATTTTTCTAAATAAGAATTATTTTTACAAAGAAGTAATTACTGAGACTAATTTTTCCAGATTAACATATCATAATGTGACACACTTTCTTATTTAAACAGACAGTGATGACATACTTTAAGAAGGATATATGCTTTTCATTTTTCTAATAGGAGAGAATTCTGAATCTATCACTATTTTCTACCATAGTCATGGTTAGAAAGGCTTATAGTCTCCAATGCAAGAATGTTAGTGAAAGCTAGTGATAGAAACTTGACCAGAGAAGATGATGAGTTCAAATGGATAAGGGCTATGCTTATGAATAACTCATCAGAGGCTGAAAATTTCCCTTAACCTTTCTCATTTAGTGCTTTAATATGTGTTCTCACAAATCAATTTCACTTATTAGAATGAAATCCAAGAAAGTAGACCTTTGTCAAGCCAATTATTTGGTCAGCATAGGCATAATCTGTAAATTATATTTATAATATGTGTACTATAGTGATGACTAACATTATTTATGGATCAATGATAAAATTAGATCAAATTCTAGGGGGAAAATGTTACTTCGACTTTAGCCTGCCATTCAATAGTGTTGAAAGCATTTTTACCACAATGAAGATGTTTATAAGATCGGAAAGAAATCAGTTCTGATTGTTAGGTATAAAGTGAGTAAAGTTTCAAATTAAAGCTAGAAATATAATCCATGACTTATTTCACATCGCTGTTAGAATCTGGGGATGTATAGAGAAAGGAAGATGAAAATAGGGAAAAGGAGAACTTTCCTAGTTCTTCCACTAATTTTGTAGACATTGCAAAGCAGTTACACGTTGTATTTTGGATATCACAGAAAACAGCTCCCTGGTGAAATGACAGCTCAGTGTACTAACATGAGTAAAGAAAGCTGGCAACTCATAGGCTCCTCTTACCCGCCTGATCGCTTGATCTTGCGCGTCTTGTTTCTTTGTGAGTTCATCGACCAACACTTAACTTTTCTCTCCTGTTCTGTGCCAGCCTGAGACCTTTGGCTTGCAGTCCGGAAGGGGCTGTGTTCCCTGCAACTGCAATTCTTTTGGGTCCAAATCATTCGACTGTGAAGAGAGTGGACAATGTTGGTGCCAGCCTGGCGTCACAGGAAAGAAATGTGACCACTGTGCCCGTGGGTACTTCAGCTTCCAAGAAGGAGGCTGCACAGGTGTGTACATAAGACCAGAGGTGAGGTGTTCATGCTCTGGTTTTAGTGACTGGGCTTCTATGAAATCGCTTCTAGTAAAGGAAATGTACAGTGACAAGAAAGATAGGATAGAAAGCGCTGCAATCTGAAACGCAGCCTAACAAAAAACTGCACTTGCAACTATGCAACAAAAATCCATCTGTGGATCCTAGTCTTGGTGTGGCCTCTCTGTCTGTGACTTTTGTTTGTCCAAATCCCCAGTGACTATGCAGCTTGGAAATTGTATGTTCAGTTTTGTGGGGCGTGTGTGTGTGTGTGTGTGTGTGTGTGTGTTATCTCAGTTTGCACTCTACTCCCAAACTATTTCAACTTTTTCTTGTGAAAAAATTGATACAAAGATCAAGGAAATTATTTTTTATAGTACAAAAATGTTTTTATCTACATTTTAGCTGCCTTGAAAACTGTGATGCTGTGATAGAGGAGCAGTCTGCCTCTGGATATTTAGTTCAGAGGAAATTGCAGGCTGGTGTTTCTGACATGAGTCCCTGTAGTGGTATCCTAGGTGTAGCCAGAGACATTACACAAATCATGGAAGAGGACAACACCAATTATCACACTACAGAGGAGAAAAAGTTGAGCATTAGTTTTGATGTATATATCACTAATTTAGAGTTAATCCTATTGCAAGAAGCATGAAGTTGAATCTCACCTTTGCTTACTAAACTCATTGACTGAGTTTTAATGATACTTCTGTACTGTACTCTCAGCACCATGGTAAGATTTTAAAACATTGTTATTGACTATAGAAAATCTATGTGAGAATCAATAGGAATAATGTTTAAAGTTATTTAAAGAACCAGTGTCTTTCAGACCAGGTCTTTAGATTTATGCTTCTTATCATAAACTAGCCATCGTAAGTTATTCTGAATCTGATAATTGTGGATCTTCTAAGAATCTGTAAATATCTGTAAATACTAAAAAAGTTACAAAGCTGCATTTTGAAATATACTCTGTTTTTCATATCTATTTCTCACTAACATTCTTCCATGATAGGAATTACTATAATGATACTATATATTCAAATTTAGCTACTAAGCAGATTTATAAATGAAACCAAGAATATTATCTAAAATTATGAAATTATAATTACATTTTATGAATACAAACCTAGCACCCTTCTAAGCCAGTGAAACATAATAGAAAAAGCACAAGTCAGACAGAAAGTATGATCAAGAGTATGACTTGCACTAAACAGCTTGGATTTATGACCTAGTTTTATGACGTATGTGAGCCGGTCTCACTTTCTCTCCTAAAAATTCATCTACTACATTAGGATGATACCAATATATATGTTACAGAGTTGTAAGAGTTAGCTGACTTAATGACTAAAAAGTACGTAGAGTAATGCCTAACATGTCAGTGTTGCATGTCTATTATCATTACCTTTACTGATATTATTAACTACAGTAAACATTGGACTTTGGCAGGAGAAAAGTAATTCCTCACATGTTCTTCCTATTCAGTGTTATGATTCCACTAAAAATCTTCTTAGGAGGGGCTAGGGATTTAGCTCAGTAGCACAGTACCTGCCTGGCAAGTGCAAGGTCATGAGTTTGATACCCGGTACTGGAAAAAAACGCACATACAAAAAAACAAACAAACAAAAAGATCTTAGGAGATTTCTATTTGCTAGTAATGACTCAGACGGTTCTGAAACATTTTTAGCACACAAATTTAAACACAATGCTAACGGTAATTCTTCTTAATGAATAATACATGTAAAATAAATTTACTTAGCATTAGCAACAACAAAAACAATAACAACTAACATTTAGTATTTATTCTGTGTCAAGTATTGTGCTAAACATTTTTCACAGCTGGTATGAAGTGCTTTGAGCAACAATTGTGATCTCCGAAAAAGTGAACTTAATCAAATACCCTAAATTTATTTGGTTAAAATGATTTAATCATCATATAACTAATTGAAAGGGCTCCCATAACATTAGTCTTGCATTTGAATTCAAATTCATTGTCGGTATTTCTTCCCGCACTTTCATTTCATTGAATTAAAAGCTGCACTAAAACACACTCTTAGCTGGGTCAGTGATAGATAAGTAGTGGATGTACTCCTTGTGAGCACGGCTTTCCTGACCTCAAAAGATATTTTGCATTTTTTACAAAGTGCTGCAGATAGATAGGGGACTTTGACTCTTTGCGTATCATCCTACAGTGAAGAAAATGAAATATCTATTGAAAAATAAACCAGGTGACAAAAAAGTTAAAAGTATCCTTTTTTTTTTTTTTTGAGACAGGGTCTCACAATGTAATTCAGGCTGGCCTTGAACTCCCTGTGTGGCCCAGGCTGACCTTGAACTTGTGGTGATCCTCCTGCCTTGGCCTCTTGAGTGCTGGTATAGAGGCATGTACCACTATGCTCAGCTAAAAGTATATTTATATCTAAACAGTGTCTTAACTCAACTGTTTTAAATATTTACAAGGAACACTCCAGTGAGTGCAATTATAACCATATACTATGATATACTAAATTTAAGACACTGCTTAAGTTTATTGGTTTTATTTAAAATCAATGACATGATCAGGAAAGAAAAATTAATCTTTATATCATAGAAAAATCTTAATGAACTTAAATATCATATAAAATTTTAAAACTTTATAGTGTCTGGGTATATGATATAAAGTTAATAAAGAATGTGATAACATCAGTTTTCTCTCGAGCTTAATAGGAAAGTGGAAAATGATTTAATTTTGAAATTATTAAATGAATTGCAACATATATTAATTGGACACCTTCCCTGGGAAATGCTGCACCATGATATGAAGATGAATGAGTTAAGATATTTCCCCCTCCAGGGATGATTAAACATATGAGTATGGAAAATAGAAAAACAACACAAATCACCACAATAAAAATGCTCAATATTTATATTACATTTTAAAATAGTTAACCCTTCAATGTTTTCTCTGTTTCCTCTGTGAAGCTTGTGACTGCTCCCATCTGGGTAATAACTGTGACCCCGAAACTGGTCAATGCATCTGTCCTCCCAACACCATTGGAGAGACGTGTTCTAAATGTGCACCTAACACCTGGGGCCACAACATCATCACTGGCTGTAAGGTGAGTAACCCGCACTTTTCACCCAATAAATTTGTGTAGATTTTTGATTTGGTACAGTTCTATAACGGGGCATTTCAAAATCCACATTATACTTCTCAACAATACAGAATTATCAGACTATATTGTATATATCAGTCAGTTCTTCCATACTAGTGGTGAGAAAGATGAAGTAAGTACGCATTTGCACCACTGCATCCATGAAAACTAAGAATCAGAGGGGAAAAAAGAATCAAAAATTATGTAGTAAAACTAGGAATCACATATTCCATTTAGATATGCACAATGAAATGCAAATTCAGAGAATAAGAAAAAGAAGGATTAAAGGAATTTGCCAAAATCTAAAGGAATTGTCTCCAAATTGACTATGTTTTAGTTTTTAGGGTACAGATGAAAGGATCCTGAAGAGTCAATGTTATTAGCAAACATTCGTTTAGAAAAATCCTCCTTGTTTTCCTGTGGATAAATCATGGAAACTGGCACAATTCGATTCATTCCCACAGAAATGTATCTAGCATTAGCAGGAAAGGTACTATCTGATAAAACTGTTAGAGAGATACCAGGAGAGTGGACCCATTCCATGAGTGGCCATGCTGTAGAGCTCTTAAAATGATAGAAACTCATTGGTTGTCAGACAAGACAGAGAGGCATGAGGACAACACTAAGGTCCTGCTTTGAAGTACAGTGGAGGATGAGTGATTTGTACCAATTAGAACTAAAGGGATTAGAGGAGGAGGAGGAGCTCAGGACGGTGAAGAGCTCAGGGCTTTCATCAGCTCTTACAGCAGTATTATTTAAGTAAAATAAAATTCACTCATTTAAAGTGATGAGTGTTGACAATAATTATAATCAGGGTGCCTTTTACAGTACCCCTTTATGATGAGCTCCCCCTCACCCGCCTTGCAACTGCTGCTTTGCCTTCTGTAATTTTGTCATTTCTACAAATTCATAGAAATCGAATCATGCTATAATGTTCCTGTTTGGTTGGGTTTATTGTTTTGCGGGAGGAGGGGATGGTTTGTCTTTTTCACATCACAGTGTGATGTTTTTGAAGTTCACCATCTTGTTGCTTTGAACAGGAGCTCATTCATTCTAATCGCTCAGCAGTATACCACTGTATGTTACACTACCACTTGTTTATTTCCTCCTTGATATGCATTTGACTCATTTCCAGTACACGTCTGTTGTGAGTAATTTTGCTATGGACAATAATTCATAGGTCAAAGTATTTGTAAATACATATTTTTATTTCTCTTCACAAAAATTCACCATGTCTTTGCTTACATGTGAAATTGTGACCACTTTTAGTTGGAAGCATTTGGTTAGGTATATATTCATACCTTTAGCACTACTTTAATGTCCAGTGATGTTAGAAATTGTTTTATTTATTTGTCATTCATGTCTGTTTCTTGAAGTTTTTACAAATATTTGCCCATTTAAAAATTATTTTAATAAGGACTTATAACAGTTGTGCTAATCCTCTGTATACAAGTCCTCTAGCAGAGGCATGTTCTGTCACCAAATGCTCCCAAGATCGAGCTTCCATTGCATTTAGTAGCTTCATCTACTTCCTATAAACACTTGTGTATTTAGTAGTATATGTTCTTGGTGTGTAATAAATCTACTCATTGTGGAGTACTGGTGCCATATACAAACCACATCCTGAACGTTTTATTTCCCCTTTCCCTCTCCTCCCTCCCTTCTACCTCAATCCTCAGATTTTCTTTCCATCATCATGAAGTTTTTCTCTTTCCTATCACCATTCTTTTATTGTACTCTTAAAGTGTTTTGCATGGTAATTTTATTAGATGTGAGATGATTACCAAAATTGTCTTTATTGTGGATTTCCCACTTTTCCAATGTCATTTATTAAAGACGTATCTTTTCCCCCATTAAATTACTTCGGTCTCTTTGTCAGTAAATTAACCACACATATCTTCCTGCATTTCTGCAGTGTGTATTTCCCTGATTGTGCACCTACCCTTATGTAAACATCATGGTATCTTAATTGCTATAGCTTTCTAGTAAGGAATACAATCGAGTATCATAAGCTCTCCGACTTTGTTCGTCATTTCCAATATACTTTGGGTATTTTACATACTTTCATTTCCATATAAATTTTCAATTCAGCTTCCCAACTTCTTTACCAGAAAGCCTGCTATGATTGGGGTTATGCAGAGTCTACAGATCAATTTGGGAAACATTGGCATCATAAGAATATTGAATCTTCCAGTGCATGAAGCTGGCATAAATTTTCATTTATTTAAGTCTTTATAATTTTTCTCAATAGTGTTCCATAGTTTTTGGTATGCAAACTTTGCACACATATTACTGAATCTACCATTGTTTTACATTTCTGATTCGAAGGTAAATTTGCTGCTCTTTGCCTCATTTTGGTTTTCAATGGCTGCTAGAATGGAAAAAATACATTTCTACATTTTCACTATTCTGTAAAGTAACTCTGCTGAACATAGAGTTCTATTTTTGGTAGTTTCATTAAGACTTTCTACGTGATCTTGTCATCTACAAAAATAATGTATTTCTTCTTTTCCAGTCTGTGTAACTTTTACTTTGTTTCCTTGTCTTTTTTCTGTACAATATTGACTAGGCAGTAATATTGACTAGAAACAAATAGCCTTGCCATATTTCTTAAGTAGAATTGAAAGCAGTCTTTTCCAAATGAGAATGTCATTACTTGTATTTTTTTCTATAGACACCCTTTATTAGTTTGCATATTTTCTCTCAAACCTAGTTTGCAAAGAGCTTTAATCAAGAATTTATATTCATTTTTGTTGCATAACTTGTCTGCTTCTTCTGTTAAGATTATGCTATTTTTAAAATTGTCACTGTGGTAAAAAACATTAATTGATTTTCAAATGTTCATCAATTGTTGCACTCCTCAGGTAATTTCTACTGGGTCTGGAGGATCATTGTTTTTTAACTGTGTTGAATTTTGCTTGTTCTCATTTTTTGTATCAGTGTTCATGAGGAATATTGATCCATTTCTGCCTGTAGTGTTTGGTGGTGTTAGCAATGGTATATTGCTACCGTTTCGAATGATTGCGGTAGTACTTCTTTCTCCCAATTCATAAAACGTTGCATAATCAATGAAATAGAAAACAGAAACAGTTTAGAGGAATCCAAAACTAGTTTTTCTGCAAAAAAAAATCGATAAAGTTGGCTTCTTGTAGAAAGATTGATCAACAAAAAGAAATAGTCAAGGGCTGGGGATTAGCTCAGCGACACAGCGCCTGCCTGTGAGGATGTGAGTGTGATTCCCGGTAAGGGAAACTGCCCCCCCCCCCGCCAAAAAATAGTCAAAATCATAAATGGGTCACTATCTATAGTACCATATAGAAATTAAAAGAATGATAATAATCATTTTTTCATTAACAACTTGTCTGAAATAAACATTTTTTTCCTTCTGCCTACTTTGAATTTGATTTTTTTTTTTCTGGGTTTTTCTATAACATGTACAGTTGAAAGCAATATGTATTCTGGAATCTGTGGATGAAATATTTAAAGAAAGTGAGTGATTCTTACTGTCCACGTGTTTTCTCAGTTACTCAGTGTTGAACTATAATTTTGATTTATTTTTTAGTTCTCTTGTGTTTTAATTCATGTACTTTAGAGCAGTGATAATAGGTATATGCATATTTAGGTAGCTATGTCCCTTTGAAAAGTCTGATGATAAAATGTTCTTTTATCTCTGGTCACTCTAATATTCCTATAGCCCTTCCAATGTTTTTTGCTTGGTAGTTGTGTGGCAAATATTCTTTTTCAAACTGTTGTGTATTCCATCTTTCTTTTTAATATTTTATGTGTTTTATTGAGATAGTGTAGTTTTAATTTTTTTTTTATTCAATTGTAATTCTTTGGCCTTTTAATTGGAGTATTTAAGTCATTTCTACTTAATATGATTACCTGTATTGGTGGGATTGGATTCACTCTACATTTATCTGTTTGCTTTTTTTCTTGACCTGTCTGCTATACCTTTTCTAAAAAAATTTTCTACATTCTTTTAGGTTTAATAACTTTTATGACAGTTTCTCTTCATTTTTAGATTATTTTGTGTACCTATTTTATATATTTAGTGTTTCCCTAGGCATACACATTGCTAAATTTCTAGAATGTACTTCAAAATAATATTAGATTATTTTACATTTTGCATAAGAAACAATGATAAAATTCCAATTCCAATTTCTAGTCTTTGTTCTCTGTTACCATACATTTTATTTCTTTATTTTGTATACAACATAATATAATCTTAAGATTTTGATTAGTTATGCTCTTAAAATAGAAAAACTTTTCTCTTTTTGTATATATGTGTGTGTGTGTGTGTGTGTGTGTGTCTATTGCAATACTGTTAATTACTTTAAATATCTCCAAATTTTCATTTTATATCATTTTTTTCTGCTTCCATTAACTACCTAATTTAAATTGTTATTTTTTCTAGTCTTTTTGGTCTACAGACAGTAATTCTTTCCTTTTTTGTTTATTCAATTAAAGTCTTTATTTTTCCTTCATTTTTCAAAGATATTTTGCTGAGTATATAACATTAACATCAGTTTTCATCCGTTTGATGATGCTGTGTTTTGGACATTTACTAGTTTATTTTTAAAGGGATTAGTTAGGGGCTGGGGATTTAACTCAGCAGCACATCACCTGCCTGGCAAGCGCAAGCTTGTGGGTTCAATTACTGGTACTGGAAACAAAGCAAAGCAAAACAAAACAAAACAAAATAAAACAAAAAAAGGGATTAGTTAGATCGAGTGGCTCTGTTGAATTGCAATTTTTATTAAATTTGGAAAATGTTTAATCATATATCTGTAAGTTTCTTCCATAATTCCCCTCAGGGAACACTCCTGATACTCATTATGAGTACACTGGGCCACTTGACATTTTCCTTCATCTTGCTAAGTCCCTGTTTATTTTTGCTTTATTTTTCCTTATGTTGTCATTTTTGATAGCTTTTATTATTATGTATAAAAATTCAATGATTT